TATATATATATATATATATATATATATATATATATATATATATATATATATATATATATCCGGTCCACACTGCCGCGTGCGAGGCCCTGTTCATACCTTCTTCTTCGGGCTTTCGTCGTCGTCCGTCGTGCCGTCGCTGCGCAGATCATCGATGTTGTAGTTGTCCTTGTGCACCACCTTCTTCCGCTTCGACGTGTTGCGTTTGATCACCGGCGTGGGTGTCTTGAACACGTGATGTGTGGCAGGCACAACGGGCTGGTGGGTGTTGGTGGGTGCTGCTGGGGTGGAGAACATCGCGTGTCTGCTGCTGCTTTGGCTCTTGGCGCTGGGAGGGGCAGGAGGGGCTGCTCTATTCAGTCCCATGCGGAAGACCTGGCAGTGAAAGCGACGGAACATTTGGTGACATAGTAACGGCATTCCATGGGATAGTGACAGCATTTGATAACAGAATGACAGTATTCGATGAACGACGGACACGGCATTCATTAAAATAGTGATATAACATCTGATGAAAGACCTGTCCGGTGGAGAAGTAGATTGCGCGACACTTGCAATCGAGAGTACTACAGTAACACTTCAAGCTATCTATAATCGCACCCAAAAGTCTGTCTATGCGCAGCAAAGCCCCCACGAGTGAATACTATCGGCGAATCGTTCTGCAGGGCACAGTAAAAATCAAAGAAGTCTGGGAACCTGCTAATACAGCTCATTGAATATAAAATGCACTTCCATAGATCGAGTCGACCACACACACTGACAGTTCACACACTACACGCCCACCACCAGACTACACTAGCACTACTAAAAGGATCCCCTCATACAATACACCCTGCACTAGTCGTGTGTACTTACCTGCCCTGTGGCGCTCTTCGAAGGGTTCGGGAGAGTGTATGATGCCCGGTTATCATGATGCGATGCGTGCGCGTGATGTACGCTGCCGAGAGGACCTGCAGCGACCAAATACACAGGGGTATGGTTAGTTGGATATGTGGATCATGCGCAGAATACAGGTCAAGAGAGAGATGAAATCATCACAAACCACGAGGTGTGTGAGTACAGTATCGATGACTGAGAAGCTCCACCCGCAAATGGGATATAGGGCTATATGCAGTTGTGTCAAAAGCAACGAAACGATACCGTGGACCGCGATATAAATTCGAACGTGACAACAAACCCAAACGTGACACTGATTGGAGCAAAAAGTATGTTGAAGCGGCACTGATTGGAGCAGGAAGTATGTTGAAGCGGCACTGATTGGAGCAGGATGTATGTTGAAACGGGACAAACAGATCACATACTACTACTTTGAAACGTACAGAACTATTATTCACCTTCATCAGCGCGGAGAGTTCGCACCGGTGATATGCGCGTGGGAGTTGCAAACTGCTGGTCCGCAGGCTCTTTGTATCGCGATGATTCGGTCTGTGGGGAGGGAAGAGGGGTGAAGATTCGCATCACCATGGTAACAGAGAGTGTTGGTGATTGAACCAATATCAAGAGGGAAGGCACCTCATCCATGCATGTAATTTAATGATGCATGCTCAAGTATAGTGATCGTGTATCAATATCCTTCATACTTTTGTATACCGACAGAAGGCAGGGAAGCGTACCTGTGGAGTTGCAATGCTCGCCGCTTTGGCAGCCAGTTCTCGCCGCTCTCTATGTAGTCTGGCTAGTTCATTATCAATCTGTAAACAACGACACATAAAAGTTATACATAGAATACCATGATAGCAACAACTGTGCATGTGTATAAGATGTGCTCACTGCGTAGTCGTGCAGCTTCATTATCAACATATCATCAACATCAGATCGAGGTCACAAATAGAATACCGTGCTAGTAACAAGTGCCTATGTAAAAGATGAGCTCTCTACGTAGTCATGGTCGCTATGTGAACAGTGCTCCAGCAGAAGTCATTGGTAACACTACTGCCCACTGCACTCATTTGAAGTTCATACGACAAGGTCCGATACCAAAGCATCGCATCTGCCATGATACGCCAGTGTATAGAAGGTCTGCTAGCGGAGTAGGGTCGATATTTGGAAAACATCACTTAAACGAGTGTGACTCTTATAATATGTCATCCTTGCTTCCCCCAATAAGCGCTTATATAGCAAGCTTATAGCACACGAGGGCAGAAAATCAGAGCGTGGCTCAGTAGGTTTTGCATGCCGCACTGTGGGAGTATTAGACGAGTCTCAGTCATTGCCACGCCAACTCATGGCGGCTTTGACCATGTCCACGAATCATGCACATCACTCATGCAGCTATATACCACGATAACCTCGGTTGAGTACTTCATCTGGCGGGAAGTGTTAATGAGATTTTACCCGTGTCGACAACTGATTAGCGACACAATTGTACACACCTGTAACTTTCTAATACGTTGCTCTTCCTTCTCTTGTTGGCGTTTGCTTTCCGCTTCTTTCGACTCTTTCAATTTGGCAGCCGCGGACACGATCGCCTAAGAAATCGTAGAAGCAATGAGTGTGCGCTCAAGTGCATTGTGCCACGTGCTTTATTATATATATGTATATATATAGCTATATATATATATATATATATATAATAAAGGAATAGATAG